CTCAAACCATTCAGGAGAAAGAAAAGTCGTCTATCACATGAGTTTTTAAATTTAGGATAAACTACATGTTTAATACCTTAATTATTATTTTTGTTTCGTTTTACTCATCAATTATTCTTTTTTTCAAAATCATACCAAACATATTTAGTTTTTTGTTTCATTTTGATCACTCATCATTAAGAAATTAATGATGATGTTGATGAGTAACTATAAGATAATGTTACATCATTATTGAAAAAAATTTAAAAAATATCACATCAACAATTCTATTAATTTTTTATCGGTGAGTAACCAAAATAAAAGCTACAACGTGATATTAAGTATGATTTAAAAAAATTATATAAATGATCAAAATAAAACAGAATTGATAATTAAGGTAGTAGACGTATAGTTAACCTTACATTTATCTCGCCCATTCAATAACAATTTCACACTGTCTACATTGACTGTGACTCTGAAGAAGACTTTAAATGATGGTAACACAGCCGTACCTACTCTGCTTCTAAAGAAAGGAAGGGAAGAGGCCACCACTAAATACCAGCAAAAATATAAACACAGTAACTTAGTAATTACTAATGAAATGATCATTATTTCATTTTGCTTTATATTACCAATAAATATTAAAAATATATGATTTTCATTTAAGTATCTCAAATATTTTTTTATTAAAAAAGTATTTAAAATTATATTTTTGTCAAAACAAATATTTAAAGTATTTAATTTTTTCATCGAAGTACTTAAAGTATTATTAAATAATGTTATGTGTCAAAACTTTTTAAAATTTAAATGAAAATGATTGAATATCTATTTTGGTAAAAAATATTTTAAATAACTATTTTGATAAGAAAATAACTTTAGATATCTATTTTGATAAAAAGATACTTTAAACTTAAATAAAAAAAGATAATATATTGTAAGTAGTTATTTATGATATAAACCTCTGATTTGTGCTTGTGAATTGTGATTATATATCGGTGCCATCAGCAGCACCCTTGGAACTTCCAAGTTGAAACAAAACCAAAACCAAAAAGCTTGAAATAATGAGAAAAGCCCCACCCCCATGTGGTTTGTTTTGGATACCATGACCATGAGGCATATCCATGGGCCCACAAAGGAGATCTGTTCATAGTGAAGATGATGGTAGTACAACAGGATTATGTTTTCTACCCCAACAATAACCAAATGAAGGCTCCATTAAGTTTTAGATTACTTAATGATCAAAGACCGGAGTTTGACCGGGAACCACTTGGGTTGGCAGAATGATTGGGGTTTCTCTAGTTGTCTTAATTAAAAAAGGTTCACACTAAGGAAAGAAACAAAGGAAATATGGCTGTTGGACGGTTGAAGAGCTAGAGAGGAACATGGCATTCACACCTCATCTTCAGGTACCCATAAATGTTCTGCCAAGACTTAAATGGACGCAATATATTGCTGCCTGCATGATAATGGCGGTGACTAATACAAGTGAAGGTTTGCTAATGGCCAAAATATAAAACAAGACCCACGTTATGTGACCCTTCCCATCCTCCCACCACAATCCCCTACATTTCAACTCATTCACATAGGGATCAATTTCTTAAAATAATTTGTAGAAATTAAATAGTATTATTTGTTCAGAATATTTTTAATTTATTGACGATATATATATATATTATAAATTCAAATTCAATTGTTCAAACTTAAAACTTCAAAAAAATAAAATTTACTTTTATTATTAAATTTATTTGAAAGTTCACACAGTAATCATCTTTAAATAATAAAAGAAATTCGCATCAAATACAATAATGTTATACATGCATAGATACGTGATATATACATGCTAAAAAGGCTAATGTGTTAAGTTAGGTGTGTGTATATCATGGTTTCACAAGAAAACAAAATTAAGAAAGAGAATAAAAAACAAAGACTAGAATCACATGGCATGGCATAAATCACGGAAATTTCTTCACGAAATAGTAACACGCCCATTCAAACCATACAACCATAACCTAAAGAAATTAAAATTAAAATGGCAATAGGTGTATTAATTAAGAAATAATTAACTTACTAACTTCTCGCTCATCAAAATCGAGGCTAAACTGCCTGTCGCGCGTACAGCACGCCAGTCTTTTCCTCATCGTCATCATTTTCATTCCTTCGTGCCTTCTTGATGACCATAAAGAATAAAAAAACATGGTTTGATTAAGGAAAAAGGCAATGAGATTTTAGGGGTTTATGAAAGATTTCATGTGCTTTTTCCTTTTCTTTTGTAGAGGGAGAAAAAAGGCGAACAAAAGAGGTGTGTGCTAATTTCAAAATTAAGATCATTAAAGAGAAAAGGGGTGGGGGAATGGGAACCGAAAGAACCAACCACTAAGTAAGCAAACAAGGATTCGTTATGTGTAAGCGAAAGGCCCAGAGAGATGCATTTGTTAAACACCAACAATATAAAACATCTAAGATTTTTAAAAGAAAATGTAGTTTCATAAACCCAGACATTAAAAAGAATAAATTTTAAAAAAAATCATTCCAACATGTTCCAATGGCGTTAAAAAAACTGCATTTGGAGAACTTACCTGGGAGAGTGACAGTGGAAGAGCTAAGGAGTGAGTGGTGATGAGGCTTCAAAGTTCAAAAGCAATCAAATGGGAAGCCAAAATCCAAAGGAAAAGGGTGAGAAGCTGCGATATTCAAAATAGAATTGATGTATTAATGGCGAAGCATTGGGTGTTAGTGTTAGGCTCCTTCCTTACTGGACTGGAAAGAGAGACAGAGCTTTATATTCACACTGTCATTGGAGAAATTATTATTTGCTCCTTAACCAAACCAATTGCTTAGATTTTAAACTCATAAAAGAGGATAAGGACCGTCTATAGGATGAAAGATTGGATGAGTTCTGGCGTAGATGGAAAGTGAGGCCAATCACCAAAACATTTTTTAAAGATAAATACACATTTGAAAATACAAATTTTTTAAATAGAAGGGACATGGTTAATAAAATAAATAATTAACTGAAAAAAAATTGAATTTAAAGGCGGACACTATAGATCCACCATTGGGCCAAAGCCCATGAAACGTTAAGTGACGTAACTCAGTTCTATCAAAAAAATCTAAAAATATAATTTATTAATATAAGGTTAAAGTTTGAAATGTGAATAATTATTCATCCTGCGTGTGGTATGTAGGTGGGGATGGAGAAGCATGTATGTAAGGTATAAGCAAGTTTTTTATTAAGCGCAAGTGAAGGTGCAAACTCCAAAAATTCAATCCCAAATTACCTTGGTTGTGAAATTCGTACAACAATTAGGTTTTAAGTGGCGTAACATTTTAGGCGTTATCGAAAATATTAATATTTTTTTAACATTTTTTATAGAATACTACTTAAAATATTATTATTTTACTAAAAATATTAATTTCGTTACCTAAAATAAATATTTCAAATTTAATATTTTCGGTAGAAAAAATTATATTTTAGATAACGATCTACAAAAAATATTAAAAAAATATTAATATTTCTGACAATGCATTTACTTAACCTTATATTAAACTGTATATCTTTAGAAATCATCGTTTCATACTATCATTTATATAGAATATCTACTTGTACTTATTGCAAAGGGTACATGTTATGCTATATTTAGATTATGTTTTTTTTATCTTTTGCTTTAGGTTTGAATCTGTTAAGCAGAAGACATGGTTGATATTTGAATCAAGGGGTTGTAGTATCATCAATCAATATCAATGGACCAAACTTTTTTTTTAAAGAAAAGAGAAAATTTGATTATGGTGGGGAGAAGAGGCGCCGGAAGAAAGGGACATTGTGTTTTGTCTTGTCCGGAATGGAACGCTCTTTGGTGGAAGCGGTTTAGGTTACGAGGATGGAGCAGAGCGGCTGTCTCCTTATATGCAAAAAAATATTGTTATTATTGGCCACCTTTTAAGTTTTCATTTTGTAGCAACACCAAACACAACGGTATACTTGATTGGAATTGAATACCTCGAATCTCTCCTCATCCGCTCCTTTTCTTTCTTACATTTTGTTGGGTCGTTAACCAATAAAAAGTTTCATTTAGGGGCAAATTAAATCATCTTAATAGTTTAAAGTTATCTTTCAAGAAAAATTAATAGTTAAAAGTATGATTATTATCTCTAAAAATTTTAAATTCGAATATTAGATACTATAAAATATTTGAGTGTTTATTATCAAATAATTGAAAGTCTTTAAAATATGTACTTTCACTTATAAAATTATCCTAGATTAATAAAAAAATCATTTACTATTTGCAAGACATTTGATCCAATTACATATTTGTTTAAATATCTAAGTCCTTCAATTTTACTATATATTAATGTGGCACTCAAATGGTTTTTGTACTTAATTAGTTTTTGAATGGTTTTCGTGATTGATCATTTTGATGATAATGTTAGAGGTGTGCAAAAAAAATTGATTCAACTAATCTAATCAATTGATACATTGCTAAAATATGAAAATTTAAATATCAAGTCCATTTTAAATTTTTTGGATAATTCAAATCGGATGTAAAAAAAATGAATAATCATATATGTCGCAAACAATCTTTCGGGTAGTCTCAGGTTCGCGCTTCGACTTGATTCGGGTGATGGAGTCGCCCCCGATTGTTTTCAAATTGGGTAAATCGAACACCTCAAAATTAATGTTTTACTGGAAAAACACCGCTATTTTTGTAACGATGATTTTAGTGGCGTTATTTTAAACCAAACGCCGCTAATTTATTTCATATAGTAGTATTTTTAGATAAACATTACGATAGATAAATATACAATGACATTTTTGGAAAAACGCCGTAATATTTTGGTACTATAGTAACATTTTGTTTAAAAATGTTGCGATAAACTGTTAAAAGGTGACTTTATTGGAAAAACGCTGCAATAGTTTGAATTGTTAGTGGTGTGTCATTAAAAAAAGCCGAAATTGTGTGTACTATAGTGGCATTTGGAAAATAAAACACCTCAAAGTCTAATAAACCCCCCCCCCCCCAAAATCTCTCTTCCTCTCCATCAGTCACCTCTCTGCATCTCTCAATTGTTTCAAGTGCTCTAACCCTAACTCAACATAGCCATCAGCTGCCGTCGTAAATCGGATGTAAGTTTTTCCCTTATTCTCTCTTCTTTCTTTCCATCTGGCTTAAGATTTAATTCCTCTTTGCTTTTCTCTCACAGTTTTTTTGCGTGAGGGATGAACATTTGAAGATGAAACATCACAAGAAACGGTGAGCAATTCCATGTTCTAGTTTTCACGTTATTATTTTTTGGAACTATATCTCCTTTTGTTTCTAACTATTAGAGGTTATATGCTTTGAATCATCATATGAGTTATGATTGTTTCAATTGTTATTGAGAAAATTTTGTTGTTACAGTTTTTAGCGTATGCTTCGCAAATTCTCAAAGTGTTAACATAGATCACAGGTTCTAAACATTATGTTTCATATTCTTAGTAAACTCATAAGCACTGCGTCTGATTATTGCCGAATTGCATTTGATTTTCATGTTAACTTAAGCTAGTCCTTCCATATTTGTTTTTTAAATCTTTAATGAAAATGGTATGTTCCATTTTTCTCTGTTTCAACTCAATCATGTAGCTTTTCTTTCCCTTGCTTACGCTGGTCTTCCTTATTCAATGGAAGAGTTTATTGTTTTTTATTTGAAGTGTTGGTTTTTAAATGTAGGATCTTGAATCCTTCTCTTAATTTGTTGTTCTTTGTTTAGGGTTTTTTGTAGCTCTAATTGTATTGCTCCTGCTTTTGGTTCTAGATGTAATGGAAAATTTAATTTTATTTCTGAATTTTGATCATATTTGGTTCTAGGTTTTTAAGTATTGAACAGAAATATGATTGGGCTAATATTTAATTGATGTATTAGTTTATGGAATCTGGGTTCTACTTATGAATGTGGAGAATTACACATGAATAACACTTGTTTGGAATTACTTTATAATTTCCCTTTTCACCATAAGTGTATTTGTCTCCATCTTCAATCATTTATTACTGTATAGAAAAATTCTAATTTTAGGTGTAGATTTTACATTATCTTTGGCCTACATTATATAGATTCTGCATTTCCCCTAACATATTTTCAGTAGTTTGACACATATTCAGATGTACACATGGTCTTAGACCAATTTATCGGATTGATTGTAGACATATCGAATGCCATTCTGAATTGGGTTAAGTGGGATTTAGAAACTTTGGGTTTCAAGTTGTATTGAGGGTTGAGTTGTTGGTTGGGTTGTTACAATCTCAAATTATTTTTGAGCTTTGGTCACACTCGGTAAGTTGTTCGTACCATTTCCCATTTTTTGTCTGTTTGTTACAAGCTCGATTTAATGGTGTTTATCTCAGGAAGACACGTGGTATGGGAGCTGGACGCAAGCTGAGGACCCCGTATGTGTATTATAAGTGCTTCATACTTGAGCTTCACCGACTGCAAAGAAAATATTAATCACTTTGTGTATTATAAGTGCTTCATACACGAGCTTCACCGTATGAAGATGGTAGTTTCTATTTGCATATCTTAAATTTTGTGTATTTTCCGAACTCAAAGAAAGGAGATGTTGGTTTCCATTAATGGTAGATTTTAGTAGTTAATTCATAAGCTTTATTTTGAACTTTCCATTCATCTGAATGGTCCTATGACCATGAGATGATAGCTGGACAAAGAGGAATCTAATTGGTTTCATGAGCCAATATCTTTTAGGTTGGAATTGGAGTACTTATGCTGCAACAACTTTCTAGCATTAATGGTGTTCTATTCTATTCCAGTACAATTTTGGAAGCTGCTGGTGAGTTTAACCTTGTTGAACTTTTTTTCATTGGTGTTCCCTTATTTATTTATATTGTTTACAAACATGTCAATTGCCAGAGTTTATGTTATGTTAGCCATATTTTTTAGCCAAAAGTTTAATGTTCAAGTTCAAACATCAAAGGCTTATTAACTGAATGATTTAACCTTGATTTGAGCAGGGGTTAAATCAAGCAATGCAGCCACCTTTGGAGTTGGTCAAGACATTCACCAGAGCAACCTCGGCTGGTCTCATGTTTATTGTTGAGTCAAACCTTAGGTTCATATTTTGTTAATTATAATGAACAATGTTGAATTACGTTACATGTCACTTTAATGTTTATTGTTATTGGATAATTTTTTTGTAACACCCCGAAATCCTAGCCTAAGAGAATTAAGCTACATTGCCTAGGGTAAAAACCAAATTAAATTGAAATTTAAATTAATGGGATTAAATTAAGATCTAATTGAATTGCCTAAGGTAAAAATTAGGTTGAATTGAAAATTTAAGTTAATTAAATTTGTCGGAACCGTCTTTTGGATGAATCCTGGAATTAGGCTTCGACTTGAATAATTGGGATAGAATCGCTACCGATCATTTTAAAAAAATATTTAGGCTGATCGGATACTATTTTACCTGATCTGCGTTTCACTAGAAATGTGTCGGGTCTGAAATTCGGTTACAGTCAAGGAAGGATTAACACTCTGGTACTGTCCTTTCGATACCAATTAATTCGTCAATTGTCTTAATTGCGAAAATTTAAATTTAAATTGAAATTTAAAAATTTAATTCAAATAATTACCTTTGATCGATTGAAAATATCCCTAAACAGTCAAAAATATTATATTTGAAATAATAAATATAAATATTAAATAAATTAAAGGGAAAATAATAAAAGAATAAAAAACTAAATAAAGTGGAGTGACAGTGTTCAAGGCCACAAAACATTTGTTGCGTGCAACATTTTATCTGCTGCTCGGTGAACTTGAGATATGTTTTACTATTTACTCTGAAGCCTAATTAAGAATAGTCAAGTTAGATCCACATTATATCGACAAGAGCCTTTGGAATTGGACCATAACGGAAGTATGAAATGTGGGTCAACTTGATACACCTCAAAGCTAAGTATATGCATAGAGGTTCCCTACCGTAATTACAAGATCCTTTACACATATATGCTTTCCACCAGAAGCTTCCTGTAATGAGTTCGGTTGGCTCCTCTAGCTGAATGTAATGAAAATGTTTATACCCAATGGCTATCACTAAAGCATCAGAGTTCAACTCAAAGACCTTCAATCATCGATTAAATTGCCATGTGCTCAACCATAAATATACTAACCTCTAGACTGGCCATAAAACACTGGGAAAACCAATCATGGTAAATAAATCCAGCATTACCAAAGAGATAGCACTGCATTAGATGAAAATCCTCTCCTTGAAAGTACCTTCTCTTTTGCAAACAGATGGTTGTGCTCCATTGAAAAACCAACGAGCCAAAACGGAGTGATCGGAACTGGACCGCAAAGCCACTGCTTGGTGCTTCAATGCACCAGCTGAACTAATGAACTTGATGCCCTTAGCAATGAATCATTTTCCCTCTCGGGTGTAAAACTTCAAATAACATGGGTTTGAACTCCAGGTGCTTGATGAAAATCTTCGGTGCCGTTTGCGTCCTCGTCGGCCCCAGCAGCCCCACGCGAGCACCAACCTGTGCAGCTCTCCTGCATTAATTTCTATACCCATCTAGCTCACCAAGTTAGTTGGAATCAAATCCTCCTCAGTACCATGCAAACAAAAAATCAAATGAGTTAGAAATACATATATATTTGATATTAGTCGATTGGAACAAATGGGTATAAGAACCCCAATCAAATTGTAAACAGGGGTCCCTCTTCCCTTCAATTTTACAGAAGCAAGCAATAAAATACCGAAAATTTCCTATGGTAGAACCCTAAATTTTCTGGCAGTAACATTTTCTCATTTCCTTTTTACATTCCATTGGCATCATAAAAATAAAAAAGTAGAGAAGAGGGATTAGTTCTTTCACCAGTTTTTTGTTTCTGCTCAAGAATAGAAATTGGCTCCATGGCAATTACTTTGAACTGGCGAGAAAGTGTTACGAACTCTGGATCTTGTTCCACTTGCTCCATCTCGGCCTTAGTCATCTCAAGTGGAGATATCTTTGTAGTGCAATAAGGTCCTCGTGTGCTAAGTTCCTCTATATTGAATCTGCATAAACCTTCAAGCACGACGATGTATGTCATGGCAGCCTCTCTCTTTTCCCTTAGCTTCTTCCGGTTTATCTGACGAAAGTAGAGAGAGAAACAGAGTCTGAAAGAAAGCAGAGAAGATGGCAATGTGTGAGATCTCAAGACCCACAAAAACAACCAATGGTAGATTTTTTAAATAAGAGAATACAGAGAAACTTGGAGAGGTGAGTTTGTGATCATGGCTGCAATCGGGAAGTGAGGAGAGAGATAGATTGATGTTTGAATAGGCAACGTGGAATCAGTTACTAATGGTTGCTCACTAAATTTTCCTTTTCTTCTTTCATTCCCCCCCTCTCTCTCCTCTCTTTTTCTTCTGTTTACTGGCAACAAACGTTTACTTTGATTCCCCACCATAGAAAAAGAAACAGAGATATGCATCAATTAATAAAGCAAAAATGGTGGCCCCCCATTCCCCATTTCTTCCCCAAGTCAAAAGCTGATTTGAATAAATAGGCAACACTCCCACTTTCATTTAGAGAGAGACGTTCTGGAGGGTGGGTGAAATATCTTCGTAGAGTACAATGTTTTTAATTTTGAGGTCGTGAGATCGAGTCTTACGGAGGATATTTTATAATTCGGAGGTCTTCTACGGAAGCTGCTCTCAATCTGGTATTAGGGACATCCTACTATCTTACCTCTCCCTTACCCCATTACATATGAGAACAAAAGACAACCAAAAGTTCTAGGTGGTGGGTGGGGTTGGTAGTTAAGTGTTTAGTGGGTTGAAGATGGGGTAGTGGAAGGTGAGTGATTGGGTAGTGTTTGAGTGGGTTGTTTTCTAAGTGGGGTGCAAAAATATTAATAAAAATATTAATAAAATAATAATAATAATTTATATAAATATATATTTGTATAGTTAAAAAAGTATGTTTAGAGTTGTCTCTTTTTGCCTATAGTCGTGTAACGGGTGTAGGGCAAAGATTAGAAAACATACTTTTCGTGAATGTATCCAAATTTAACACCATCCATTATAGGGATGAATTCCCATCTTTATCAATATCTTCTGTTGTAGAGTTGAAATCTGACGTCATAACTGGTTTGTCAATCTGAATTGAATCCGAAATGACTCCCTCGTCGTGAGGTTGAGTTAAACTGAAAATTTCTAAGCACGATATCCTTCGTCGTGAAGTTGCAATCGAACTCAAAGCTTTTGGCACATGGCCTCTGAACCGTCTTCTAGCTTAAGATACTTCGTCGTGAAGCTGAAACTTGACCTGAAGACTTTGGTGTTGCTGTGCTGCAGATGACTCATTCGTCGTGAAGTTGGGTCAATCTTTAGGATACGATATCCTTCGCTGTGAAGTTGAAATCATAGAAGGCTCATTCGTTGTGTAGTTGAGCCTGGATATGCTTCGTCGTGAAGTTGAAATCCAATCTAAAGATGAATGTTACTAGTGAGCACGTTTCCCTTCGTCGTGAAGTTGAAACCGTAGATGACCCATTCGTTGTGAAGTTGAGCCTTGAATTGGATATCCTTCGTTGTGAAGTTGAAATCCAATGAATGTTGCTGGTGAGCACGATTCCCTTCGTCGTGAAGTTTAAACCGTGGATGGCCCTTTCATGGTGAAATTAAGCCTTGAATTGGGTATCCTTCGTCGTGAAGTTGAAATCCAATATGAAGATTAATGTTGCTTTGAGTCCAATATCCTTCGCCGTGAAGTTGAAATTGGCTCTGAATGAAACTGGGAAGCCCCTTCGCCGTGAAGTTGAGCTTTGAATTGGATATCCTTCGTCGTGAAGTTGAAATCCAATCTAGAGTTTGAACGATATCATTCGTCGTGAAGTTGAAATTGTGGATGGCCCATTCGTTGTGAAGTTGAGCCTTGACTTGAATATCCTTCGTCGTGAAGTTGAAATCCAAGCTTGTATTGTTTCGAGTCCAATATCCTTCGCCGTGAAGTTGAAATTAGCTCTGAATGAAACTGGGAAGCCCCTTCGTCGTGAAGTTGATCTTTGAATTGAATATCCTTCGTCGTGAAGTTGAAATCCAATCTAGAGATGGACACGATATCCTTCGTCGTGAAGTTGAAATTGTGGATGTGTGGGCATGATATCCTCCGTCGTGGAGTTGAAATCGTGGATTTATGGGTACGATATCCTCCGTCGTGGAGTTGAAATCGTGGATGGCCCATTCGTTGTGAAGTTGAGCCCTGAATTAGATATCCTCTGTTGTGAAGTTGAAATCCAATCTTGAGAAAGTTGGTTTTGAGTTAGATATCCTTCGTTGTGAAGTTGAAATCCAATCTCGAGTAAATTGTGTCGCTTCGAGTTCAAGACTCTGAACAAAACTTGAAAAGTTGTTTGTCGTCAGACAGTCGCCCCTTCGTTGTGAAGTCGACCAACCACCATCAACTTTTGAATGTGCTTTTGAATCGAGTATCTTTCATCTTGAAGTTGAAACTTGACTAAAAAATTGCACAAAAAATTATATATGCTAAAAATGATAAATGCGATGCTCTTAAGTATGTCTAAGATGCATGCAACATGAATTAATTCTGTTTTATCTATTGGATGGAGCCTCATTTTTTGTCTGCTGGTCTTGTCCTTGGAATCGACCATGCCCCATTATCTTATTGGTAATGTCACAAGTTCTATCTGATCTTTTTTCCTTTCTCTTATTTTAGGAGGGAAGAAAAAAGATATAAAAATGTAAGAATTCTATAAAACGTTGCCCCTGAATCTAGGCTCACAATCGAATCACATCAAATTATAAACATGAGTTCAAAGAATATCAAATGAATCAATAGCTCTTTTAATGCTTTCAGAGTTATAGCTCTTTGACAAATATTCAAGTGGATGAGTTGGCTGTAAGTTGACCTAAGGTTTCAGCCATTAAAAAAATATCTTTTTTCGGTCATTGCAACATGCCTTTTTCTTGGCTTGGCATTTTAATTGGATGCAGACAAAATGACGCAACTAACATGATCGATTACTAGACCTTCTATTTCGGTCCTCTGAAATCCTCCATTTGTTCAAGCTTCGTAGGCTCCTCTAACAAAAGTAGTGCAAAAATGTCAGTCTAAAAATGAAATTCCTGAGTGCTCGTGTGA